AATAAAAGGAAGTTCCCGGAGCAGCTGAGACGAGACTCTGAAGGTTTTTTCGGATTATTTATGTTATGGAAGAGGCGGGGAAGTGTGTAATGCATCTAAGAACCTTGTAAAACGTCACAGAGGACAAGTTTTGAGCTTTATAAAGGTTTGTGTGGGATGTTTTTGGGCGAAATATTGGTTTTGATGCTTCGGTCTTGAAAGGTGTCTGTTGATTGTTGTTAGTTGTTATAATAATTACAGTTGTTATTGCTTGTTATCATTTGTTTTATTAAAGTCCTTCAATATCTGTTTGATTGGTGCATGTTTGATATCACCATTGTTATATTTTTGTTGTGTTTGTGTTATTACCATCCCTTACCTGTCAGCCCGAACGTGAATTTATTTGGTATTTTAAAGTAATAATTTCTGTAGGTGTTTTAGGTCCGGTGTTTTTTTAGGAAGGAATGACAGCGAAAATAACAAGTAAATGTAAATATGTAGTCTAAACCACCCAGCATGCTAAAGTAGACAGTACATGGAGTCAAGAGTTCAGTAGATTCAGTAGAGATTGTATTATATTATATTTATCTCATGCTTATTATAAACAGATAAACTCACGGTAATTCTTTACAGTACGGACGCGCTCGCCAGAGACTTCAGTTCCCAAATCCACGTCACAAAATGTACTTAACAGCCCAAATTGCCACGACCATGCGTGTCCTTTGGGGGGGAGGGTTGACAACACCCCCAGGGAAACGTCGTCTTCTCCTCAGTTTGCACAGCAAAATAGAGCTGATACTCAGAAGCACCAAGTGAACTTAGGCTGGGAAGTTTTTCCTTTATTTAAATACATGTTATAGGCACACTGTGTGATTCTTTGGAACCACTTCTAAACGACTTCTGCTCAGGCCACTCCAATCTTGTGTCCTCTCTTTAAGTCCAGTGTAAGGCATACATGGATCAGAGGCATTTTCCATATGGTAATAAGAAGTCCTGATTCTACGCCTGGGCTTTTTCTCTTGTTGCTTCTCCAACAGCTTGAAAGGACCGTTTTAAGCCAATGAACAGTGACTTTGTACTGAATTTGAAATCAGATAGAGATAATATGCCAATGTTTATCAAAAGAATAAGCACACCATTTCTTTTTCCACACTCATCTTGCCAGACTTGCCAGACTGTCACCTGGTTTCAGGGTCATTCTGTTAAGTTCCATGTGTAATGATATGTAACATTGCTGTGCACATGCCTATGAACTCTTCCATTAAACATGACCAGATGTTCTTCAGCTCAAACTAACCTGGGTTCTTCTTCATCACTTCAAGATTATTCTTCAGTATTTCAAAGAAATACCCTTTCCTAATGCTAGTCTCCAGAATCTTGTGGCATTAATGATGGAATACCCTTGCAACATTTTATGCATCAGCATTGTGCTCCAGTCACAGCTGTTTTTGGGTGTCCTTCCCTTGGTTCGTCTTTAAGGTTTCCTCAACCCCTCTTGAATTCAGTAAGCCAGTGGTGGACAAATATAGAGGAAGGCCAAGTGGAAGTTTCCTGTTGCCCAAACAAAAGAGTGAAATCATGTTCTTCATCTCATTATTTTTTAACACCTCTTTCTCACATATTTGTGTGTACAGCACTGTTATGGTACTTTGATATGTCAATTAATGTTGTTTTTTCATGGTTTTAGAAAGGGAAAAAATGTACATTCAGGCATAATGTAAAAATTTATCAAATTTTGGGCACATGCAATTTCAGATTACATTTTGATTCATTTTAACTTATATTTTCTCAAAATTCTTTATATTATGATTGTTCTTTTGTAGGCTTTCAGTGTATCACACCAAGGGGTCTCCCCCACTAGATTTGCCACTCGCACAAAAGACGTAAACACTTCCATCTTGTTTTGGTTTTTTTTCGTCTTCATTTTTATTCTTATATTCTCTTTTTCTCAGAGTAATAGAACCTCTTTCTTCCAGATTGAATACTCGTGGACAGCAAAGATGGAGCCAGAGGGAGAAGGTCCCCTTGCCATTGTTCCTGCATCAGGTGACCAGCAAGGTACAGGAAAGACTGAATCTGCAGATGCCTCCGAGGATGAAGGGATTTTCGTGCCTGGGAAGCCTGACACGACTGTGGATAACCAAGAACAGGAGGAAACAAAATCAAAAAGAAATGAAGGTGTTGAAGTTGATGATAAAGCTTTAGAAGACGAAGAATCAGAAACAAAGTCGATGACAATTGTGTCAGATGACGACAGTGATGTAGATGCAAAGAATATAATAACTTCTAGCAGGAGGAGAAAGGCCATTCTCTCGGATGACGAAGATTCTAATCCACTCCCTTCACGTCCTGTTAATAAAGGTTTCCTTAGTAGTGATGAGGAGCAGGAAGAAGAGGAAGATTTAGACAAGAAATCCAAGAGCTCAAAAACAAAGAGGATAGTGCAAAGGATTGGCTCTGACAGTGATGACAGTGAATCTGAGATTTTCCCGAGGAATGCATATGATCAGCCACCAGTAGCAATTGTAAGAGAAGGCGATAGAGCTGTAATGTTGGCATGGAGAGGTAGATATAGGAGGGCTGTAGGATGCATAAAGAAAACTTAATAAATTTGTTCAGACTAAAGGTTAAGGTTTGCTTTTATTAATAGTTTGAGTTTGTCTTCATAAAGAATGTATACATTTAAAATTAAGATTAAGTTATACATTGTTATTCTGTATTCACTTTTCATTACAATTCACTGATCTTGAATGTCAGAGTAGTTTGTGAGAAAAAGGTTTAGAATCTGTATTATGTTCAGATTTATTTTTATACCTTTATGCTTCAATGAAAGTTATAGAACCTGTGAGAAATGTACCAAATCACTTAAGTACTGTTTATATTTACTTTTTTATGTTTATTCTTGCATGTCAGTTTTGTACAAGCAAGTATTCTCTTTAGAGATTATAGTAAATCTGAGTGCATTTATTTTTCAACTAAAAGAAAGTTAATCAGAAAAAAACCTTTTCAGAAGCCATACAAATACAACAGTGATCTGTTTGATGCTGAGCTGACAGATGAAGATGAGCCTAGACCTAAGGCTGGGGAAAGCTTTTCTCCTACACGGCCACAGTATTCAGATGATGAGAATGAGAGAAGTGCAGCCACGAGCAAGATAAAGAAGGTAAGAGTTGCATATGGTGTTAGTAGGGTTCGAAAAAAGGCCTCATAATCCAAGCTGTTAGTCACATATTAAAAGGTTTTGCTAGTAGAGGAAAATCATGTAGTTTGTTGTACTTGATTTCATATATGATGCTTAAGTTGATGTAAATATATGATCATCCTTCATCCCATTCTCTCAACTCAATATACTTATTTAATTTCTTCCTTTTTCTTATTTTCTCATAGCATTGTTAAAATCTCATATTCAAAATAGTGTTCGTATTATTCATGGTTTTATTAATTCTTCTTAGAAAAAAGGTCCATCTTTGAAAGAGAGGCAACAGGAAGTTATGGACATCCATAGTGAAACCCAACGAATGGTGCGGGATTCCCAGATATCCCTGCCCTATCACAGGCCCAAGCAGAGGACTCTGGCAGAATTTCTGGAAAGGTAAACATAGTAATAGGAAATATGTAATGTGTAGTGATTCTTAAGGGGTAGGAGTGTATCAAGTTATAACATGGCCTCCACACTTCACACAGTGGCATAGGTCAATAAATCTCCATTATGTGTATTCAGGCAAGATGAGAGCTGGTTCCAGATTTAATAATAAATAATTTGGGAGGTTTGCCATCTCTATCTTGCAAGAATATAGTTGAGGTTTGTTAATTACTACTATATTATCAAGTACAAATGTCATAGCATCACACCCTACTCCTGCTCCTCTTCCTGCTACTCCTTTTCCCTCTCATCTTTCAGCTCCTCTTCCTCCTTGTCTTCTTTTTCTCTCTCTTTGTCCTCTTGCTCTTCAGTTTGAATTTTTGTCTGATCAATTAATTCTTAATAACGATGAGCAAATCCGTGCTGAATGATAGCTATGTATCCCTTTATTTATTTGATTTGTGGCTTACATTTTTTTGCCATTTATGTGAGTTTTCCTTTATATTTGCATTTGATTGTAATAATAGACATCTTTCCATCATCCATTTTACCAAGATTAGTTATTTTGTATCTAATGATTCCAGTAATTCTAAAATTTTTGTTCTGTGTTTTAGTTAGAAGTTTATTGTAATGATAGTTGAATTGTAACTGATAACTGCATTTTTTTCTTTCCATGTTCTTAAGACGTAAGAAAGTTGCACCTGTTCTGAGTCTCAAACGTGGCAGCCTGAAGATGAGTATGCGAGATATGGCAACATTAAAGTAAGATTACTTTTATGTTTGTTTATCTGACTGGTCATAGCAAGACTTGAATTGTTTATATCTCTTCTCTCTTTATTTATTATTATTGTACAAAAGCTAGAAAGTGGACTTGCTGTATATTCTAATGCTGTTAAGAAGTGCTTCCTTGCAATTTCAAAATACATTCATGGGCCTTTTGAATAGCAATTTATTCTTCCCATTAGGATGCTAGAAGAAAAGAAAAAGGAAGTTGAAGACTTCTACAAATCAGACTCAGATCAGGAGGACCCAGAAGACAGAGACTGGACTCCAGGGAACAATCCAGAAGGAGATCAGGCAGACCATGACAAAGAAATGGATAAGGAAATGGAAACTCAGCTTCCTTCCCAGGCTGGTGATAATGAAGACCTTCCAGACTTATCTCAGAATATTGGTGCTCCTGAAGAAGGCAAGACTGATAATGTTGAAGAGCAACAGTCCTCAATGGATGTGGATAAGGAAACTCACCCTGATGTGGGAGGCGTGGTAGGTGAGTCCACAAAGAAGAATGTGGATGACTCAGGCATTCAGAGTGGGGCTTCATCTTCTGCCGAGGACTCTCAGCCTGACCAAGATGTGGTGATGGAAGACGTCACAGCTGGTGCAAAGGAAGACGTAGTGACTTCTGTTGTTAAAGAATCAAGAGATACTCAAGATGATTTTGAAATAGAGGAATGTCTTCCTAAAACTACAACAGAAGAAAAAGACAGTCCTCAGATAATTTCATCAGACCCAAAAAGCCCACAAAACTCAGAAGCAAAGAGTGGAAAGAAGACTGAAACTCCCAAACTGAATCTTCTAGCAGCAAAGTTGCCAGACTTGGACCTAAACAAGATCACAAAGACAACACCAAAGCTTAGTCTTGGAAAAGACTGCGACTTCATTGATCTGGATGAAGAACCAACTGTAACACCAAAGAACCCAGGATTGAACGAGCTGATGAATCGCTTTGTTCGACACTCAAATACAAAGAGAAAACCGGTTGATAAGCAGCAAGTGAATTTAAGGTATGTTTCTAAAGTGTACATTTCAAATTCATGAGCCAAAAAAGAAAAAAAAAAATTGACAGAGAAAATATGCCTTGTGTTTTACACAGAGATGTACATTGTAAAGTTTGACACTTGGTAAATGTTTACAAGCCCCTGCAATAGCTTAGGCCTTTTGTGATTACATGGATTGTACTCAACCCTAATCCACCTGATACTTGATGTGAAATGTTATGGAAAAACTTGTTGACAGTAAGAGTGCAAGTTTCCATGCATCATCTGCTTCGGTTTTATTTTACTTACTTTATTTTTATACAGATGGCTGTAAAAGTACTTATGTCACCTAGGAATCAATTATGAAGCCTACTTGACCTTGCCTGTTAACAACATTAGTTAGATTTTTGGAAAGACATGTTTTTGTTTTTATTACTGTTACATCCAGTAATGTTATAATGATAGTTATCATAATTATCATAATTGTAGCACAAGTAATTGCTGCTGCTGCTTCTTAATTCAAGGAATGGAGTAAACAGTTCAGATAATATGAATAAGAATTAACATCAAAGTGCGCAAGATTGACTTTATATGTTTGATTGCATCTTCATCAGAAAAAAACATGTATTTCTGATGGAGAGATAATCAAAATGCAGCAAATACATCATTTGCATTGATGTTATTCCTAATTATTCATATTTTTTTCTGGATTTATTATAATTAATACATCAAGATTAGGTAAATCTTAGCAATTGACTCCCTAGCAAAGCACTTGTGAACTATCTGTGAGTAGCAAGAAAAGCATGTCTTGCTAGAGTCATTGATATAGGTTTGTTGACCTGTGCTGGAGTCCCAAGCGCACAGAAGTTGGGTGCCTTGTAAACACTTATCATTAGAAATAAATAAGATGAATGTGACTGAACATGGACTCTTGAAATTTTCAGGATTTAAAAACTGGTACTATTTTCATCAGTTATATTTTCTATATCTTTTAGTGTTGTATCGAAGGAGAAGGGTGAAGACGGCTCAGAAAAGCTTGTAGCATCCAACATTATTGTGAATCTTGATGCTGAAGATGATGATATGGTGAGTTTTGCATATTCATTCTAACTGTTTGCAAATTTGTTCATAAAAATGGAGATGTGGAACAAATTTGATCAGTACTTAATCCCATCCCATAGCATTATAGACAGCAAAGAACATTTTCAACAAAGGTTTCTTAATTTCTAGCCAATTGAAACGGTCCCTGGCGCACGTCACATGTCCCTTAAAACTGCCCTCCAAGCAAAAATTAGGGAACAGCGAGAACGAGAGAGAGTACGTAGGGTTAAGGAGCGCCAGTTTATTGAATCAGAGCAAGTCATAGAAGGTGAGTAGTAAACTTACTGGGTATGCCTTACCAGTACAGCTGTTTGAATTCAGTTTTATTAATATCAGGTGGGATGGTTGAGATCACGCATGAGAAATGTGATACCTTAGTCGGTCACTATGTATGAACCATGATTTTGGCCCTGTTAATGACATTAGAGAATAAAAGATTATTTTTTTTTTAGTCAAAACCACTGGTAAGACCAGGTAGGCCAAGTAACAAAACCATCAAAAGCAAAACTAAGTGGCGAGTTCATGTATATGCTACCAGTGACTTAAATCATAAAGTAGTGCACTGCTAGTTCAGTGTTAATAGCTGCTTGGAAATGTTAGTATCCATGTTATCAGCATCATCTGCAAAGCCCAGGTAGTTATTTTCTGCAAGATATATTCACCATTCCAAATTACAGTGCATCACAGTGATTTAAAAGTGTTCCATAGCAAGTTGAGGGAGGGTCAGTAGGAAGCAAACATATGCATTATTGCAATAGATTTTTTCTTTGTGAAATCATTTATTTTATTTAACCCAATACTACTAATATTGACATTGTTATCATTCTTATTGATGATATTATGATTAAATAAAATATTGATAACATCAAAGACAATAAAATAAGAGAAATGAAGCTTGGAAAAAAATAAAGGAAAAGGGTGAACTGATGAGAAAGATAAGACTAATAGCTGACTCCTTGGTGACTAAGCTTCTGTAGAGCCATTATATGTAAAGATAATAGATAAACTTCTTATTACAGTGAGCATGGCATCGTAGTCTTGCCACCCACTGACATTGGGTTAACCCATTGCTGCTAGGTATGGTATATACATATAGGCCATATCCATTTTGATTTTAGTTTGTTGTGTTTACACATGGATGTCTCCACAAATGCCTAGTCACTAAGGAGTCAGTCATTAGTCCTACCTATCTCTTCTGCTTATCCTTTTCCTTTATTTTTGGAAATAATACTTTTTAACTTTTGTTGCTCATATTATTGATAGTAACATTATGATAATCACAATATCAGTAATGATAATAATAGTGATGTTAATAGCATTAGAAAAATAAACAAGAAAAGGGTAAATTGTATGATACCATTTATACTTGCTAATTGACCCATTGGTGGCTGTGAAGTTATCAGTGTTGCGACAATGCAAAAAATAAAACTACAGGGAATTTTCTGGACAGCACTGGATTGAAATATTAGTTCATAAATGAATAAGGCAGTCTATCCTTTGAAAAATAATGTTCCTTGACTTTTAAAAAATTGAAAATCACTCGTGTAGATAGTTACAAGTATGGGCATTGTATGTTGTTAGTTGCATAATATTCAGAAATGACAGATTCACTGACTTTTGTTATATATTTCAGATTACCAAGACAATGGACCTTTCCTGGATGAGGAAAAGGAGTTCACTGACCAGAGCGACACAGACTGTGAGTCTGAACCGGAAGAAAATGACATCATCATCAAGGATAAGAAACGCAAAAAGAACAAATATCTGGATGAAGAGGCTGAAGATGAAGATGAAGAGATGCAAGAGGATGATGAGGATAGTGCAGATGAGGGAGATGAAGAGGGTGATGATGATGATGACGATGATGGAGGAAAGTAAGTAGGAATCATGCTAATCATTTTTTAATGTCCATTTAAACATTTTTGTGATCATTTTAAGAGGAAAAAGTTACAAAGCCATAAGTTGTGAGCTAGCCTAGAAGTTTTAGTAAATGAATTATAAGAGTATGTGAGCAACTGTTGTATATTATGCTAAAAGTATGAATTAAAACTTCTATTTGACTAAGGATTTTGATCAAAGGGTTTCAAAAAACAGTTAGAACAAATAGTATAGCTAGTTTTATTACACCATGTCTCACTAGTACAGCTGTTTGAATTCAGTTATATCAATACTGGTTGGCATAGTTGAGATCACGCATGAGAAATGTAATTCATTACATTAGTTAGTCACAATCTCTGAACCATTATCTTGATCCTAGGAATGATATTAGAAGATAAAAGAAGTAGCATTAAAGTTTCCTTGTTTTAGTTAAAACCACAGGTAAGACCAGGTATGCCAAATTACAAAATGATAAACAAAACCACAGAGGGGAGTTCATGTATATGGTGGTTTTGTTAGTGTTCTCCTCTAGGAATATTTTGTATGTGTGTTGGAAAGATATTTTTAGCCATTGGTATGAAGTTTAAGGTATATTTAAAATTTAAATACTGATTTGATGTAGAAGTAAAGATGACCTACAGCATTTACCTCTGTTTGAATTGTATTTTCCTTCCTTTTAATGATTTTCATTGATCTTACCTAGTGTTATTCTTAGAGTTTTGATATAAATAATTTTTGGGGTATTTAATTTCCACATGTATATTTCTTATTTTATGTTGAGCAAATATACATTTCATCTCAGTTTATATTGCTAATATGGAAGTTATTGAAGTAACACCATACATCTCCTATAGTCAAGAAGCCGAGGACGACGACAGTAATGATACCGTGGAGCTGCCCAGCACTCGCAAGAGGATAATCATGGAGGATAAAGATGAGGACAATGAGGATGGAGACCACTTGAAGTTGCAGTGGGAAGAGTCGCAAGATGTCAATGCTCTTGCCAAGTCCAAATCGCTCATTGAAGGCCTGACGCGTACAAACACCGAGGACCTCTTTGCCTCGCAGTCTAAAAAAAGTGAGTGTCTTATCTGCAGTGTGTGAAAAAGGGATGGGAATTTATGCTGTGATAGATTTTTTTGGGTCCAAGAAGTTCGGTCATCTTTGCTCAGTTTTGATTAGCAAGGTTTTTATTGATCCTTTTAACCCAAAGCCAATGGGCATGGCTTATATGTACCTGCCATGCCCACTGTGACTTTACTTTAATAATTGTTTTTACACTTAGATGGCTACACTTGTTCTAAGTCACCAATAAGCCAATTATGAGTACTACCTGTCTTGCCTGTTTACCCTTTTCCTTGATTTTCTAAAATACATTATCTTACATTTCTGTTACTAATGTCAATAACACTATTGGTAATTATAAGATCTATAATAAAAATAACACCATCAATATTCATAGCATTACTTAAAGGGAAAAAAAAAGTTTTTCCTGCAAAACTCCTTTGTGGCTAAACATTTGCAGAGACATTTCTCTAAAATTTCTAAAATTTCCCAGTGACATTGGGTTAAGCAACCATGCACTAGTTTATATGGATTTTGTAAAAATACTGTCAAAACTTAATGAAGTTCCAATGGCTCTTGCTTGAGATGCCTACTTAAGTGGATAGAAAATTTCCCCGTGACGGGGAAAATGAACAAAAAATGGAGAAAATGCTGTGCTCATTCTTTATATTTTTTGTGAAATGTCTCTACACATAGATGTTTTTACCTTACCTGATTTCACCTTTCCTTGAATTGGCGGGAAAATGTATTTTTTACTAGTGCTATGAATATTGATGATGTTATTTTTATTATAAACATTATAATTACTATAATGTTATAAACAATAGTAATAGCAAAATAAGATAACAGAATATTTTCATAAATTAAAGAAAAGGGTAAACAGGTGAGACAGGCAGTACTCGTAACTGGCTAATTGGTGTTTTAGTACAAGTGTAGCCATCTATGTGTATAAACAATTAAACAAGTAAACTCACAGTGGACATGTCATGCATACATGACAGCCCGTCATGAATGGGTTAAAACAGGACCTCATAAAAGCATTTTGCCTTGGCAAAGTGCATGTAAATTCCATGAGGAAGTCCCCCCCCCCCCATACACACACATACACACACTAGATTATCCTTTAAACAATAGTTTGTTTGTTTTTTCCTACTAGATTATCCTTTAAACAATAGTGAAAATATTTTTTGTGTTAATTTGAGAGCTAATAATGTGGTATTTCAAGAAGTCAGAAAAAGAGAGACTATTGAAGATGTAATCAGTGAGCATTCAATAGTTTTGTGTAATTGTGGTTTTCAGTGTTACTAACCATTACTTATTTTGATTTTAGTGGATTCAGTGGACAAAGATGCAAGTATTACATCCATGGATTCAAGTTTTGAATTCTTTGGATCTGTCATTCCTGGTCATCAGCCAGGTGGTGGGCTCCGCCGCAGTGGAGAGGGCATACCCAATGAAAACGATGGTGAAACTGCCTTCTTAACTCCATTAACAAAAACTAAATCTGGCAGTTTCAGTAGTGTAGGGGTAAGTAGAGCACAGTTCCCAGGCATATGTTGTGTGTCCTGATTGCAGAAATCTTTGACACATCTTTTCTTGTCCCATATAGAAATCTTCATATTGGTTACCACTAATGATAGATCCATCCTCTTTACAGCGAGATCGTGACTTAAGCCTACCCATAGAAAACTCTCAGGACCTCTTTATATCATCAGCCCCACATAGTGCTCCTGGCTCACCCTCTACAGAAGGTCCAAGTCTTCACCTTACCCCAATGGAAGACTCCCAGTTTGGCCCTCATGAATCACGCAAGGAAACTAACCCTATGGCCAAGCTGAAGTTGGACTTCACAGGCATAGAGGGTTCCCAGGATGGAGACGAACTCATTGGGCTTTGTTCAGGACAGTTTACCGGTAGGATTCTGTGGGCTTGTAATACCTTCTGGAACATTTTGAAACAAAAAGCATGGATATAATCTTATTGAAACACTAATCTTTGCATGAAAAACAGAGAGAGAGAGAGGGAGAGAGGCAGTCAGTTTTGTTGTAAAAGAAAAAAAAGAAGAGAGAGAGAGAAAAATAACTCACTGAAAAATAATCAGAGGAATCCAAAAATGATGATAAAGATGATGGAAATGTGGATGATTTTGAAACAAAGCCGTGGTATCATTAACGTCACTATTTTTTGATATATAAAATTCATAGTAGTGAAATGCATCTTTGTTGTGTTAGCACGTTACGTTGGAATTCGGTCACAGGGGCAGTAACACAATTATATGAAGTATTTTACATACATGTTTATTTGAAAGATTTTTAATATATAGTAATCCTAATAGCTAAAATTCTGTGTATATTGAATCCCATCACAGAAGTCCCTCAGAACCCAAGATTGGTGATGATGGCCTATATTTAGCAGTTTCCTTCCTCTATCCTGAATCATTGATTTTGCCTAAAACATGATAAATGGTAGATATAGATAAGTAGATCTCTCTCTCTCTCTCACTCACTCCCCCCTTTTCAACCTATATGATTCTTTGTATTTTATATCTCCTTCCTCAAGAGGGAAAGATATGAAAGTAATAGGATTGAAAATGGACCAAATGTTCAATTGCAGTTAGTAACAGACTAATTGTCAAGGCTTGTATACCTGAACCTCTAAAAACTGCAAATTCTACAGCTTGTCAATTCATGAAAACAACTTGCTTTTTCACTTTATAGATTACAATCCCTTCCTATAATATTAAATCAGCATTTAGATTAAAACAAAGTTCAATTGCAGGAAAGGAAACTTCGTCAAAGGTAGACCAGCTGTGTGAAGAAGAGTTTGCCCCAACACAGGACATAAACAGCCTCATGGGCCTGTGTTCAGGTACCTTTGGTATGCAAGATAAAGACAGACCCAATGCCTTTGCTGCACTCACTGAATCTCAGGATAAGAAGAATGAGGATGAGGAGGATGAGCTTCTTGGCCTGTGCACCGGAAAGTTCACTATGTGAGTATTTTAGAAATAGTTGCCACTAGGGGAATGTAAGAATAGAATTGTCCACATGTCATGTATAAAATGATAAAACGGTTTTAATCATATAGGACAGTGGAACAGGTACTTGTTGGTTCATTTTGAATAGTGAAAAAATCAAGAATAACAAAAACAGGAGGTGGAATGAATGTCTGACTCAGAAGACAAGATCTCGGGGGAAGGAAGGAGGCAGAGGTGTCAGACACACAGATATGCTATTTCAGTCAAACAATTGGTCATTTTCCATGACTGATTAAGCTATTCCTTTGTCTTTTAAGATTATTACTTATACTTTTAGTCCCCCCCCCCCCCTTCTCTCTCTCTCTCCCTCCCTCCCTCCCTCTCCCTCTCCCCTATTATTGTGTTTTTGTAATGACTAAAATAGCCTTCTACATTTTTATGTCAACTGCACAGCTGTTTTGTTGTGTCAACTCATGATTATCTGGCCTCATACTGTATACTAAAGTGAATTGTAGCTCCCTGGAGTAGAGGCTGGGTGTCGATACCAGTACCAAATTTACTGGCTCAAGGTCACTTCATCTTTGGATGGAATGGTGGGGCTTGGCTGGGCAAAACTTAAGAAATTGCAGGATTTACATATTTACACTCACTATGTTTCCTTTGGGCCAAACTACTTTAAACTGTGTATGGTCATAGCATAGGACAGTGAATGTAAAGTATAACAAGTTGTCCTGCTAAGAAGCATTTAAGAGTTTTAAAATCTTAGCATCTGCAAAAGTGCTTAAGTTAGGATGAATTACCACAGTACTTGTGCATTTTTAGACCTGTCAGCAGACACAACAGTAAGCTAAATCCTCCTTCACTTTTTTCTTTCTTTCTTTTCTTTTCTTTTTCTTTTCTTTTATCTCTCTCTCTCTCTCTCATTCTCATTCTCATTCTCATTCTCTTAGAGCCAAGTGTGAACTGCTTATAGTTATCTTATTTGGCTTGCTGGAGAAAGTAAGTTTGGCACTCCAGCATTCAAGAGGCCTAAAAGGTTCAAAGTTATAAGTGAATAACAGCTTTTTAAGCAAAAATATTTTGGCCATTTAGAAGCCTTTATTAACCCATTGCCGCCAGGGAAAATGAACAAAAAATGGGGAAAATGCTGTGCCTATTTTCTATATTTTTTTGTAAAATGTCTGTCCATAGATGGCTCTGTTAGCGCCTGATTTGAAATGACGGGAAAAACGTATTTTTCACTAGTGTCATGAATATCGAAGGTGTTATTTTTGTTATAAACATTATAATTTTTATAATGTTTTTTAACATTAGTAACAGCAAAATAAGATAACGTAAACTATTTCATAAATCAAAGAAAAGGGTGAATGGGCGAGACAGGCAGTACTCGTAACTGGCTCATTGGTGATTTAGTACAAGTGTAGCCATCTATGTGTAAAAACAATCCAACAAGTAATCTCACAGTGGGTATAGCATGGCATGCCCATCGGCAATGGGTTAATATACAAGGTTAGGAAAATCATACAAGTAGTTCATATAATATTTGTATATTACCTATATAATAAAAAAAACAAATGCATGGCAGGAGTTGAAAACTGTGATAAATCCTTCATACTGTAACTAACCAGCGTTTCTGATACTTGACAGGGAAAATGCAAAGAAGTCTATAGGTGATGGAAAGGAATCAACAGAAGAGGAAGAATCAAAATTGCAATTTGACGATGACAGAACATCCTCGCCCATACCTGAAATGGTGGTATACTCATCAGATGACGAAGAACCAGAGAAAAGGAAGAAGGTCAAGAAAAGGAAACGAATCTTGGCTTTTTCTGGTAAGTAGGTGTATAGGGAGAAAATTTGTGCAGTAATTTATATGGCACCTGTGATTTTTAATGATTAATATTGTTACTATTTTTGGTATTATTACTTGTTTAGCATTTGAATTAAGTATATATACTTTTATCTGTACATGAAGTTTTACTAACAGTTATATGTTCCATATGCAATATGCTGAGAAATAACAGCTTTCCAGTTTTATGCTCTCCAAAGAAAACAGAATAGTCTGTTCTTTCTACAGTTTCAGTCTTAATTATCTATAATTTTAGTACTGCATATTAGCTGTTGATTTTACAGAAATAACACTTCCTCAAGACAGTCATACAAGCATTTTCACCACCAGTAAAACTGGTAACCTTGCACTAAAGTCTGCTCATTCCATACACACCCAGCCACATTGAATAACATTGCCCAAGGGTATCAGCATAGTGGGCAAACATGGCTAGCATTACTAGAGGGGGCATAGTCTTTCACACAGAGGCATTGAATTTTATTTGCAAGTATTTGTCAAGAAACAAAGTTGTAGATGGGTGTGGGTGTTCTCCTGGTTAGCTAGAAAGAAGCATCTATTATGATTTTTTATATGCTTTCAAACTCACTCCACAACACAACAGTGTAAAGAAAAATGGCAGTGCCTCCATAATCTGATGTTGAGATAATAGTAGTTAAATATGGTTTGTGCTCAAAATACAAAATTTGAAGATAGAACAATAATGAAAGTTTATAGCTATAATTAACAGTATGTAACCGGTAAGTTTAATATTTTCATTCAGAGTACAGCTGTGCTGTTAGTTTGTGTTCTCACATCTGTACAATGTTGGCCATGTACTGAGAGCCTGTCCCTCCTTTTGTCCGAGGAGTCCACGCCCACTATCAGGCATTTGTACTCATGTGACTGCCCCTTCAGCATTTCCTTTTTCATGCCTGTTTTGCATGCAGTGTCTGACTAAAGTTATTTGTATTAGCTTCCACAGGTCTTTATAATGAGTAACTTTTAGACATCTCCAGAATTGCATGTATATTTCACAAGAGCTCAGATTTTATGAAAATGGATATTTCGCTTTCAAAAATCTAATACATGACTTCTCAAAGTTAAGTACTGTAGTGTTTACATGTATAAATGGTGAAAAGAGAATAGATCATGCATGTACAAGTCTTAGCAAACAAGGTCCAAGGGGAATGGCAGGCTGTTGTTGATGAGCCAAACATATGAACCAGTGCCAGATTTACTGCATTTTATTGCCACTTTGCATTACATTTCAGGAGAGGATTGGTGTAAGAAAGGAAGGGAAAGATTGATGTTTAATAGACTACAGAAAGAACATTACACATAGATTGTTAGAATTAAGATAGTGAGAGAGAGAGAGAGAGTGGGTGTAATCCCCCCCCCTCACCCACCCACCCATTAAAACAAAACAAAAAACAAAAAAATCATCCCATTCTCAAACTTCACAACCCTGTATCGTGGAACTACTATTGTAGTATTATCTGCTTTTTGTAAAAATGTGAAATATGAAATGTATTAAATTATTTAATGACTTACAGATGACGAGGATGCACAGGGACCAGTTGAGTATGACGATGAAGAAAATGAGATACCACGTACAACATTCACAGGCTTCAAAGATAAGAAAAAAGGGTATGTATCATTTGTTGGTTTAGGTTTTTTTAACCCAATGGTGACGGGTGAAGAAAACAAAAAAAAAAAAAAAACTTAACAGTCTGGCAAACAATGGCGGTGCGCCGACTTTGAGCACGTGAGTTCGGTACATCAACCGAAATCACTGGCTCGCCACCGCGGCATACAGCCGCACACCAGCTTTCAAGCGGTTTGTTTTCATGCCTATCGGCGTCACCCATCGGGAAGGGGTTAATAGGTATGTCAGTGATGTAGCAACTGGTTTGCCAAGCTAGGAAGACATAAGTGAATATCACTGCAAAGGTTTAATATGGTTTTTGTCATGTTCTTAACCCATTAGTTCTAGATACATTAAGTCCCCTACTTACGAACATTCTACTTACGAAGATTCCATACATACGAAAAAAAAAATTAAATACTTAAGTCAAAAAAATTGTTTGAAAGATGCCAGCAAACTTCAAATTTCTCGTGTGCGAATATAGTTCACAAGTCTGCCGCGCTCACTCAGCTGTGCGCATCACTCACCTCAGTCTCCTGCCCTCCCGCCATAAACACAAAAGCATCTGTTTACTGTGTCCTCGTGTGCTGCCAATTTTTGTGCCATAATTCGCTCTACTTGTGCATCAATCCATTAAAAATACTTATTGGGATTTATGTACAGGTATTCTTAATGTAAACAAAACTTTAAAACAATGGGAAAAAAGGCAATGGAGACCCGACTTTGGAGATATGAACAAATGGAGTTACAAACAGCCTCTCGGTCCCCCATTATGTTCTTAAGTTGGGGACTTTCTGTATATATACACTATTGACTCTATTTTTTCTGACTTCACTATTTACCACACCAATTGAACTTTTCTTGTTTTTAAAACTGTTATCATTTCAATATTATTGTCATGTGCGCACACACAAACACACACACACACACATATGCGTGCATGTGAGAGAGAGAGAGAGAAGGAAAACAGCCACAGTAAGAAACGAATTTGAATCGTAACGTTTCAAACTCTTCATGAGTTCCTCTTCAAGACAAGTAATAAATTGAAATGGATCATTTCCATTTCAATTCATATTCATTTCTTACTGTGGCTGTTTTCCTTTTCATTATTGTGTACACACTACTGTGTTTGTGGTTGTTTCACACACACACACACACACACACACACACACACACACACACACACACACACACACATATATAGATAGATATAGATATCTATCCATCTATCTATATATAATTATTGCCATTTTGTTTCATTGGGTTAATATATAATAGTGGTTTCATGTCCTTTCTTTCTTTTTTATTACTTTACTTCCTTTCTTCTCTTTTCTTTACCTCTAGGGTTTTGTGCAAGAAAATTCATAATGCATTAATTTCTTCAACAGAGGCATCAGAGCAGACTTCTTAGAGAATGAGGCCGAGCTCTCTGGGTCCGAGGAAGACTCTGGTGACGAATATGAAGGTGGACATGACTTCATGGAGGAGGAGGAGGGTGACAGGGAACAGTTTGATGAGAATGACCTTAGAAATCAGGTGAGTCGTCCTTAACACTATTTGTAAATACCATTTGGTTGAAGGATTTGTCCTTTCTTCTTCTTCTTCTTCTTCTTCTTTTATATTCATTGCTTTGTATGAGCCTAGATGTTATCCTGATGAAGGTAATGTTTTCTTCCTTAGGTTGGCCGGGCACATTTGAAAACTTTGATAGACTCGGACAAACGCGAATTGCGGTTGCTACAAGAAATGTACTTAGAAGATGGCGAAATGCATGGTGAAGGGCGTCAGAGACAATTCAGGTAAGAGAAAATATGTAATATGTCTGTAAAGTTTTTCTTCCTCTTTTTTGAAGTGTTAAAGTTCTTGGCTTGTTGCATTAGTCATAGTTTTTATATTTCACTCTGGGTAAATTCAATTTACAATATTAAATGATTAGTTGCAGTTAATTTCTATTATTCTTTGATTAAAATTTCAACATATAGATAATGCAGTACAATCCAGTTTCTTTCGTTAGTCATGCAAACTTCTTCCTAAAGGGGTTATAGAGTGAAATATTTGGATTTTGAATTTTGGCCTCAGTTGAGTTGACTTTCAATCACTGGTCAGGAACTGGAGAGGTTTGCTTGGTGTGGGTTGATGATAGCATGGCTTGGCTTAGTTAGTGAGAGCCATATTAATAGAACACTTGGCTGGAATCCTGGGAACATATAGGAATAGCCTCAGATACATCCTGCAAGATTGTTTTGTTTAAATTGCATATCTTATATGCTCAACAGATGGAAGAATATTGATGACAACGATGAAAATGAAAGGAAGATGGATTCAGACGAGGAGCAAAATGTGGGAGAGGATGAGCTAGAAGATGCAGAATGGAGGAAGCAGAGATATGAAAGGGAAAAGTTCTTGCAGGAACAGCAGGAAAAGGTAATAAAAACTGTAATTAGATTTTTTTCTTACTTAAGAAGGAAAATATTCCCTCATTAGAAACAGTATGAACATGTGATGCATTCAGACTCGTCAAGAGTTCTTTGTCAGATGTGGTAAAGACCAAAATGGATACACAAAATAAGTTTATTCTTGATCAAATTTACTTAACTTTATCTACAGTTGTTAAGTTTGTACCTTCACATTTTTACTTTGATTCTACTGCAGTACTGTTTTTGTTTTTAACCCAATGCCGACAGGCATGACATGTACATGTATGCTATGCCCATTGTGAGTTTACTTGTTTAATTATTTTTACACATAGATGGCTACACTTGTACTAAGTCACCAATGAGCCAAATACAAGTACTGCCTGTCTCACTCATTTACTCTTTTCTTTGATTTACGAACATATTTTACCTTATCTTATTTTGCTGTTACAAATGTTTATAACATTATAATTACTATAATGTTTATAATAAAAATAACACCATCAATACTCATAGCACTAGTAAAAAAAATACATTTTTTCTGCCAATTCAAGGAAACGTACGTCTAAGCACTAGCAGATATATAAAAATATATATATAAAAAATGAGCATAGCTTTTTCTCCATATTTTAATCATTTTTCCTAGCAGTATTGGGTTAATCATGTATGCACATTTTATTTACGTAGGTTTTTTATTCATATTCTTTATCGAATTGTTAGTTATGATCAACATAAACCAGTTTTTTACTTTAATTTTATTATCAAAGTATAAGATGAATCATTTTATTAACATATGTGCCTGGGTATATCAAGTAAGCTCATCTGTATTCTTTTCTTTTATAAGAAATTGAGGATAATAATAATAATGTTTCTTGCTTTTACGTGTTTCTTACTTTAATTTCTTCAGGTAGGAGACACCTTGGAAACTGAAATGTTCAAGATTGGTCAGCGTCCGTTAATGAGAACGGTTTCCAGTAGTGATTCAGCCTCCAAACGAGAGCCACTGAAAACAGCTAACCCAGCCCCAGCAGCAGCACCACTAGTTAAAAAGCCTGCAGTGAATCCCTTTTGCATGCCGTCTAAGGTGAGAAACTGTGGCTTTCTGTATTTGATTTATTTGTGATTTCTTGGCTGTTATAGCTCATTGTTATCTTGCTTGTGGTAGAAATGGGGTCATCTGCTTCATTGAATTGTTGCTGTCAGTTTTGATTTGATGTGTTTTTGGATTTTGTAAATAGATACATTGCTTTGATCCAAAGGCACTGAGCATTTTTCTTTCAATATTTTATTTCTCCGGTTAATTAACAGCTGATCTTTTAAAAGTGTTTTATTTTTTGTCTCAGTTTTTTTCTTTTCTTTTCTTTTCTTTTCTTTTCTTTTCTTTTACTTCTTGGATTTTTCTCGCTTTCTCTCCCCCCATTATTTTCTTGTCCTTTTTTCTCCTTTCTCTATCTTTGTCCTCCAAGATAGTACCCTGTAATAAATGTAGCTATTGTACTCATGTACGTACGTGTGTGTGTGTGTGTGTGTGTGTGTGTGTGTGTGTGTGTGTGTGTGTGTGTGTGTGTGTGTGTGTGTGTGTGTGTGTGTGTGTGTGTGTGTGTGTGTGTGTGTGTGTGTGTGTGTGTGTGTGTGTGTGTGTGTGTGTGTGTGTGTGTGTGTGTGTGTAAAATCAACTAATTCAAGGTTGGTTGTGCTGTAGAATTGAGTTATTTTCAGTTGTGCAGTTCAGAGGATATAGAGAAAAAATAGAGGATATGGAGTAGAAAGTTGGAATGAGGATTTCTTGATTCTGATTATTTCACCTACTAAAATTGAGTATGAGGTGCATGCACACTTCTTCTCCCTCTCCTTCTCCACTTTCCTTGCTTCCTTCCTTCTTTTTATATTTATAAGTCCTTAGAGATTCTTCCAAACTCCTATGACAGTGTGTAATAGCTTTTTATTTTCCCCTGGTACAGCGTGGTTCCTTCCTCTCAAGAGACAAGAATACTTTAGCACGTATTGCAGAGCTCACAAAGGACAAAGGAAGTGTAATAGGGGGAGCCAAGCAAGCAGGTAACTTTGTCTTCCAGCAGTTGACAGCAGAAGAGGTAGAGAAAAAAGAGAATGCCAAAGTCAAGAGGAGCTCGAGCTTGCCTGCTGCCAAGAAAGCAAGACTAGATCGCAGCTTCTTCAGTATGGATGAATCAAAACAGTCTTCAAGTATATTTAAGCATTTTTAACGATGATTTAGATAGACGAATAAGGAAAAGCGTAAAGATTTAGATAAGATTCTAGATTTTATCTGTAGTTTTCTTTTATATGAAATTCTTATTTTCAAGAATTAGAATAATGGTTCATCTGTTATACCTTCCATTTTTTCAACACATTGTAATTCCTCATTTTTTTTATACCAACAATTTTCTTCTCATCTTTATTTTAACAGAATTATAATGGATTTGTTACAAAAAAGAAACATTTCTTTACTTTCTCATTTTATGCATTTGTGTGGATGTGTATGTATATGTCATTTTGTGTATATATATATAAGATATTAAAATAAGAGTATTTATTTTGTGCAATGTTTTTATAGACAGATACCGGTTGCTAAACTGCATAATTCATTTTTATATTTTAATTTGGTGCATTAAAAATACACCCTGAATATCTTGTGGTTTAATTCAACCTCAACTAGCCTATCTAAATTTGACATCATTGGTTTCCTGACCATGGCTCCAACTACTGATGCTAATACTCTCCTCGATGTTTACAGTTTACTCTCTCCATTCCAAATCATCCCCATGGGTCATTACTCAACTTTCAGAATACACCCCTTCCTCTCTCCTAGCATTCTCCACTCCATCTCCTACTACACAGTCTTCATTGTCTACTTCCACCCCCCTTATTACTACTCTTCCTCCTTATTGTCCTCCCAATGGTACTCCCCCTCTCCATACCACCCCATCTTCCTTCCACCCTCCTACTGCTTCCATCTGTTGAGAATATAAGATATGCAATTTAAACAAAACAATCTTGCAGGATGTATCTGAGGTTATTCCTATATGTTCCCAGGATTCTACCTCTACAATTCTTTTGAGTACCCTTTTTGGCTCAGTCAAGTGGAATCCAATCTTTGCGATTCCCCCTACACCCCTTCCTCCTACTCCCTCCCAACACAACCCATCCCCCCTAGCTCCAGGTCTACCTACATTAACCTTCCCTCCACTCCCCCTATCCCTTCCACTCCCTCCTGGATACACACATGAATCCATTAGGTCACAACTATGCCCTTCCCCAGATCCTCCAGCTCCTGATACACCACCTCCCTCCTCATTCCTTATCTCACCCCCTAGCTCCTTCCCCATGAAATTCTCCAACACCCACTATAAAATTTATCACTCATAGATCAAGTAAAGTATAGCTCTCTTACATTGGAATATTTGCTGTCTCTTCTCACATTGTCCTTCATCATATCCTTTCTTCTTATAACCCATCCATTATCTGCTTTCAATAGTCTCTTATCACACACACTGCTTTGACAATCTGTTCTCCATCCCTAGGTGCATACACATTCTTCATTTGATCTAACCCCTTTACCTAACCCGACTTTAACCCATTCACTCATCAAGTCCTTTGCCCAGCTTTAACATTTTCAATATTAATCTAGATAGCTGATGTATAGCAACTAATCACTAAGTCAACCACCATTTACTACCCTTTATTATACCTTCCTATAGTGCTATATGACCTTAGACGTCTAGCACATTTATTTTGCTTTTAACCATTAACCTACATCCCCTTACTCTGACAATACCTTTCTCTTCCAATAATATCTCCAAAAACAAGCTGGCAAAGTTTCCTTTTACAGTCGTTCCAATTCTTCACAGCTTAGTCTGAGTCCCCAAGTTCATGCATTATCTACCCTGACTGACCTCACTAGCAAACCTATTCCTGCTCAGTCTCACTCCTTCCTTTATACTTGTACCAAAACTGTTTTGGTCTCCCTGACTGATTGTCCTGTCTAAAACAAGGACTAGTCAGACTGAAAACAACTAGCTCACATGCCTCGTTGATTATGATGCAGTAGCAGTCTAGTCCTACACTATTTCTCTCTAAGGCCAACATGTCTTACACCAATATTGCCAAGATTAGCGTCCGTAGACATGACCTCCCCGTGAAGTTTATATTGGTGAAGTGTCCTGCCCTGTCCAACCATATCAACCCCTTCAAATTGCCCTGCTCAATCACGCATGTGTGCCAATTATGATGGCTCCCATGAAGTATTTTATAGTAACTGCCCTGCCTACAAGCTCGAATAAGAAGCAGCAGTTCTCAGATTCACACTAGGCCTCACTCCACGTGAGGCCAGACAAAAGCACGCCGACGAGTTTTTCTTCTTTCTACCTATTCCAAAACTTTACTTCGCTCCGCTCCCCTCCCATCTTAAGAAGACTCAGCATTTCCCCCAGTATCTCTTTCTTCTACCCTGAACCACCCTATATGTACTTCCATTCCCTCATGATCAAACTTTTTTTCCCAGTCTAAATCCAGATACTCTCTATCATCACTTCCCTTCACCTTCTCACTCTACCTATCGCATCAGAATATCTAAACGTTCCAACCAACCACGTCCTCTCCTACTCCTACCTTTCCCTCTGCTCCTCGAACAGCTATTCTCTCTTCTCCTCCACATAAGAAAACTTGTTTCTCAGACCTCCCCACTCAACTGTCCTGAAGAAACTCTTGAAGGGATCTAGAAGTTCTTAAACATAACCAAAGAGAATGCTCCACTGCCTCACCCACGCTCTAATCCCCCTATTCATATTCATACAATATTCAAAGTATTTGCCGACATCCATCCTCCTCCTCAAGTTCCCCTATCCCTCTTCCTCCCACTCCCCTCAAAAACACCCCATCCTCTCCTCCTCCATGCACATCACCAATTCCCTCTTTCCTCATCATTATACTTTACGCTCCCACCTGGATGCTCACGTGACTCCCCTCATGCCACAACAATGTTCGGATCCCTCCCCTCCTGATATTCTTCCCTTACCTCATTCTCTGGATTCTTCTACTACAACTATTTCTACCCGTATTGCCATTTGATTGTCACATAGTGAATTTTGCCATTTTCCTCATACAGTGTTACTCTCCATTTGATCTGATCGCCCTATACCTTTAACCCCCTTCTTTTATAAATCCCCACCGTATTCCATTTGTTCCCCATCTATACCTTTTTTTACAATCATTTTATACTACAGCGTTCTGCAACTTTTAACATCTAACATCTTTATCTAATCGTTAACTAATTTCAACCCTTTTCGCCACAATACTTTACCATAGTGCTCTATGACCTTTGATGTCTTGCGCATTTATTTCTTTTAACCATTAACCACCCTCAATACTTGTACTAGAACTGTCTCCATCACCCCAACAAAAAATGCTCAGATCGTGAAGAAGACTTCCTCGCCTGCCTCATGGACTATGATGCAGTGTCAGTACATTGCTACACCATTTCCCCTAGAGACTGTCGTAAGTCCTGCATCAATATTACCAAGATTACTTTCCGTAGACCTGTCCTACCCCTTTAATGTTTACATTGGCGAAGAAGCCCTCCTTGTCTGACCATATCACCCCCCCCCCCCGTCAATGTCAGAAGTGTTGGCGTTTAGGCCACACTGTCAAACACTGCCGTTCTACAGTGGCAACTCACTAAATCCAGACACCCCAGTCCCCTCCACTATTCCAGACTCCATTCACTACTTCTCCGGTACCTAACCCTCTTCTTCCTCACCCAAGTCATCACACAAGACAAGCTAAACGTTCCTTCCCATCTTCTACCCCATCCTCTCCATCAACCTCTCCCTCCACCCTCCATCTGTCCTTTCTTCTCCCCCCCCCCCTCCATAAGAAAACCTTTGTTTCTCAGACCTCCCCAACCGACCCCACTGCAGGAATTCGAAGACATTCAAGATTATCTAACCGTGACCCAAAATAACATTGCCTACACATCAACCATCCTCCAATCTTTCTACTCCCATTCCTTCTACAAAGTAACTAGCGACATCCATCCTCCTCCCACTATTGTGCCCCCCCCCCTCCCAACACATCACATCCCCACCCTGCTTCAGCCGCATCACTCCCCCTTCTTAACTCGCTATCTCTCCCGCTTCCCACTGGATGTGACCCCCACAGCAACCCCCCTTTCCTATATCTCTCCACCTGGCAGTTTCATTGAATCTTATCTAATTGGCATTAGACCCCTTTCTCCTTTGTTAATTTCTTTACCTTACTCTACGAACATCTTTGCAAAATCCCACACACCTTCCTTTGTCAACTTTGATCAAATCCTTCCTGAACTGCTATACTATATATATATATATATATATATATATATATATATATATATATATATATATATATAGAGAGAGAGAGAGAGAGAGAGAGAGAGAGAGAGAGAGAGAGAGAGAGAGATGCATGAATGTTTTTATATTTATATGTGTGTGTGTGTGGGGGGGGTTGCGTGCGTGGGTGTGTGTGTGGATGGAGAGGGGGGAGAGAGAGAGAGAGAGAAGGGGGGGGGGGGCGCAGAGAGAGAGAGAAGGGGGGGGGCGCAGAGAGAGAGGAAGGGAGGGGGGGGGGAGAGAGAGGGGGGGAGGGAGAAAGAGAGAGGGGGGGAGGGAGAAAGAGAGAGAGAGAGAGAGAGAAAGAGAGAGAGAGAGAGAGAGAGAAGAGAGAGAGAGAGAGAGAAAGAGAGAGAGAGAGAGAGAGAGAGAGAGAGAGAGAGA